CCAATGTGCAGTTACCATCATTGGTGACTGTCATTGCAACATCTTTCCATTTACCAGAGGGAATGGCTGCCACGAATGTGAAAAATAAAGCTCATCTTGCCTGTTGGGGAGACAAACAGTTGCATTTGACTAAGAAAGTGTTGAGTGAGTTGCTGACTGATGTTGATAGTATTAGGCATGCCACCCATGCAGAATCTTGCAGCTATAGATTTTTTGTTATTAGCACATGGACATGGATGTGAAGATTTTGAAGGAATGTGTTGTTTTAACTTATCTGAGCACTCCCAAAATATTGATAAACAAATGGCAGGACTACATGAAAACATGAAGCATATCAGAGAATGACATGATCCTTTTTCTTGCTAGTTTGGGTTTAAGGGGTTGGTGGCAGACCTTGGTCAAGAGGGCAGTAATGTTACTGATTGTATTTCTAAGCTTTCTGCTGCTTCTTCCTTGTTTCTTACAATGCCTTCAACAAATGTTGCACCATTTAGTTCCTCCAATTTTAAAGAAAAGAAGGGGAGATGTAGGACCCTGAGCTGCATTAGAACAAATTTGACCATAAAGAGAAAGAGTTAAGAAGGTGGGCAAGGTTATCAGACAGGGAAGGAACAGTCGTGGTCAGCAAAAGAACACAAAGGAAGAGCCAAAGGAGATGAGAGATAGAAAAGTTGAACACACAAGTTTTGGTCCCATATACACAAATGTAATTATCCAATACAAATGCTTACAAGGATGTGTGCAGCCAGTTCTAGAGGAGATACTTGTATGAATAGATCTATATACAGTAAACAAGTAACCAAGCTTAGAGAATAAACAAATGATCTGATCCTCATATTGGTGCTGTGTTATTCCTGTTCCTGCATGAAGAAATGAAGACCCTGGCACTGAACCTATGACAATGACTAGCAGAGAGCCTCAGGATACCCCTACTCTCATGTCAATAAATTCTGAGTTGTGATTTAAATCTGTCAGAAAATGAAAATGGTAAAAATTAAACATTTTCCAGCTGTTTCTCTCTGGTTTACCTTTTTTGAAGGCCAAAGCTCTGTACTGCAGGTGGCCCAAGTGTGTGCAGAGTAATGCAGCTCCCAAAAAACCCCTTGTTTTTCCCAGAAGTCATTATCACTTGTTCCCAGGTGTGTCCAGATCTGGCAGGAGAAAGAGCCCACAGCACAGTGGGCACCGTGCCCTGCCCAGACAGAGCTCTCTGGCACTGAGCAGCAGCAGCAGCAGCAGCGCAGCGCCAGCACTTTTCAATCTGCTCCTGCCTTGGCTTCACCTGGGGGACAGAAGGCTCAGGAAATCAGCACTGCCACTGATGTTCCCAGCCTGGAGCAGCTGCTGCTGCTGGTGG